CCCGGTTTTTGGAGAGCTGCTCCGCTTTCCTTTAACGCGCTTTGTGTCTTGGTCCGCAGGCAGGTCCGGTAATTAAGGTTAAAATCCCTAAGGACAGAGACGGTCGACCCAAGCAGTTCGCGTTTGTGAATTTTAAACACGAAGAATCTGTCCCTTATGGATTGAGCCTGCTTAACGGGATCAAACTCTACGGCAGACCCATCAAAATTCAGTTCCGATCAGGTACCTGCCAAAAGAAACGTTCAAAATAAGCCGGGTGCTAGAGAGAAAGCCAAACTGCCGCCAGCTTCCCCCTCCCAAAACCTGGCAGATTCGTATCGAATCGGGCAGATTGCGCGTGCTTCTCAGCAAATGGCCGCTCACCTGATGGCCGATGATTTCGCAGAAGAGTGGGGTCGAGCTGTGCTCGTGTCCCTCCGCTTTTGTCCCTCCGCTTCAACAAGGGACCTTTCCGTCGGTTACGGCCAAGTCCAACCCCTGAGCTGAGTCTTCCGTTGGGTTTCTTCATGATTATGCATCTGTGACCCTGAAAGCTATTCCAAATTACTGCGCCAGTAGTACAAGTTGTGCCTGATGTCGGTTACGGCGGGGCACATTGGCCAAAATATTGCTGCCCGATTGCGTCTTTCCCATCGGGTACTAAGGCAGTTGCAGTGTCTTCTTTCGGAGGCTGGACCGCGTGCTTCGGCGGGTCACCGATGAAAACCCAGAGCTAATCAAGCGTCTGGCAACTGTTAGTGCCGTGCAAGTTTGCTTCGTCCCCGAGTTCCTCTAACTCGCGTTTGTCAGTCTCCTGAAACATCTGTTTCTCTTCAGGGAGCAGTCACGCATCTCAGGACGGCAATCCATCTTGCTCCCTGCACGGAGCTGCCAACATGAGCCCGTCTGGCACGCCGCATCTGGCAGCGGGCTCTAGCAGGTACGAGTCCCGTCGGCACGCGCCGTAGGTGCAACGCGCACGGTTCAAAGTAGAACACGGCGTTCGCGACCGCGGTAGCGAGAGCTTGGCCGGTTATTTTGTATCTCGTGGGAGAAACACGACTAGGGCTGCTGGTGCCCCTTGGTCTGCAATAGCTTTGAGCTGAAGGCTAACGCTTCTAATTTTTTTTTTCCTGCAGATACGACAGGAGTCCTGACCATGTGGTAGCAGCGGGATTCTCGTCGGTGCAGCGGTCTCTGCCCTCTGCTGATAACCTCCAGAGACAAGCGGTGGTACGCTGTTTGCTTGTGCTAGCACAGTCTGACCCTGCAGTCGCCCACAGCTGATGGACAACA